TAAAACATCGCTTTTTATTATAAAATCGATACTTCGATAAATTATGCAACTTTTTAATCAAAAATCGACCAATAAATAATTAAATTTTTTTATTAAATATCGCGCGATCATTATCTGCATTTTTTTTATTGCTTCCGTTTTGTGTTTTTGAGGCATTTTTTCATATGTATGGCAGCACTGACATTTCACTTCAATTGGTGTACAAAGCAAAAGGTGAGGTTAAATTCGGTATTTTTTTTGCAACTTTAAATGCGAATTACTTTAAAACTTTAAGCCTCCGGAGGGTGGGGTCTTCAGATTTAGAATCTGAAAAAGCTCCTCTATACTCCCTAATATTTTTTTTTTCAAAGCCTGGATCCGTTTTGGAAAATTTTCCCTATATTTTTTTTGGGAAACAACAACTACAACAATTATTAAAGGTCAAAGTTCAAATTAAGCATTTTTTTTAATTAACATTTCTCGAAAACCTCTTCAAGGAATTGGGCAATTTTGATGTCATATATGATAGAGAGTTTAATTCTCTTTAATTTGATATACATATTTATACATATGTATACCTTTTTATAGTTTTCACAAAAATCTAATTAATGTGTATATTTGCGTAGGCGGCCTTTGGCCGCACTTATGGATTATAACCCTCATAAAGTAGAATTCTCTTTCTGTGTTGCGAAGAAAAAGCGCTGAACTCCTTTTGCAGAAAACACCTTTCGGCGTAGGCGGACTTCGGCCGCGCTTATGGATTATAACCCTCACAAAGTACAATTCTCTTTCTGTGTTGCGAAGAAAAGGCGCTGAACACCTTTTGCAGAGAACACCTTTCTGCGTAGGCGGCCTTCGGCCGCACTTATGGATTATAACCCTCACAAATTAGAATTCTCTTTCTGTGTTGCGAAGAAAAGGCGCTGAACACCTGTTGCACAGAACACCTTTCTGCGTAGGCGGCCTACGGCCGCGCTTATGGATTATAACCCTCACAAAGTAGAATTCCACATTAATTAGATTTTTGTGAATACTATAAAAGATATATGCATAAATATGTATATCAAATTAAAGAGAATTAAATTCTCTATCAAATGAAATCAAAATATCGAGAAATATTAATTAAAAAACATGCTTAATTTGAACGTTGACCTTTAATAATTGTTGTAGTTGTTGTTTCCCAAACAAAATATATACATCGTTACGCTCACCTCAATGATCTCCTTCGATCCCAACATGAATTTTTTTAATTTGAGAATTGTAGGTATTCTACATTTATGCCATAAAAATTACAATTAAGATTAATAATAAAGGCGCATATTCATAGTCATATTTAGTACTCAACTAAGGGCCGTTTGCACCATGTCTAGTTAACGCTAACTGGAGGTACATCCTTCAGTTAAGCACGTCCACTGCTTTATCGATCACATGTTATATGATGAGTGTCGATAACGTCGATAAAGATGTTTAACTGGGAGTTAGAATTAACTAGACATGGTGCAAACGGCCCTAAGTCGAAACTATTCTAATAGGCTGTTTTTGCTTACGCGTAAAAGCACATTTAGCGCATTTAGGGCCGGTTACTCAATGTCTGGTTAACACTAATCTGCGGTTAAACATCGTTATCGACGTTACCGACTCCCTGTTATATGCATGGAGTCGAAGACGTCGGTAACGATGTTTAACCGCAGATTAGTGTTAACCAGACATTGAGTAACCGGCCCTTAGCTCTAAATGCTACTCTAAGGGCCGGTTACTCAATGTCTGGTTAACACTAATCTCCGGTAAAACATCGTTATCGACGTTACCGACTCCATGTAATTTGCTTGGAGTCGAACACGTCGATAATGATGTTTAAACGGAGGTTAGTGTTAACCAGACATTGAGTAAGCGGCCCTAAATGTACATTTATCCATACAAAATTCGTCACCTAAATGCAACTAAATGCAACTCTATTTTTGCATTAAGAATCTAAATGCTAAAAGCAACCCTGTGATCTTCCAAAATTTCCACGATTCGAACATGGTTTAAAGAGAAAAAGTGGCAACATTGCTTTTTCGAGTATACAGTTGCTAGCTGCGTTTCAGTGATCGCCGATCGAGATTTCTTTTATTTTGCATTACATATTTGGATAAAGAAAAGTTAAGCAAATTCAACATCGATTGATGCTGATAGAAATCTGGATCAATTTATGATCAACTCTGTTTGGTTTGTTTCCTAATTAAGGGCGTGTGTGAATCGGTAACAAGGTTCTATGGGGAAAGCTGTTGAATAATATTTTTACTATGGTGAGCCAGTTTTGCCAATCTGCTGTGTGAAATGAAATCTTTTTTGACAGCAGTAAATTTTTGATAACCGCAGATTTAGTCGGTTGGTTTATATTACAAATTGAAGTGAAATTAATATTTTAAGAAAACATCTACCATCACTGATAGCATTTCATCAATTTAAACTTTTGTTTTACGAAAAATTACACACAGCAAAAATCTTTGCGATTGTCAAAATTTTCTATCCATTTGTCAAAAATTTCACCAGCCTCATCAGCTACTGAAATTTTATTCAGTGAGGAAATTTGAATTGACATCACCGACAAATGAATATATACACAAACAAATGTTCGGTTATGGTTAAAACAATTCAAGTTTTTGTATTGAATTTTTGGTTTAAAATGTATTTTTTCCTTTTCAGTAGTTTTTTTGCACATTATCTTCTGCGTGAGAATTATATATACGCATCTAAATAAGAGACTGGAACACGGCTGTTTGTCAAAAGCATGCGATTTCGAACTCGCGTAAATGTACATTTGCTAAATGCTATAGCATGAACGCTCTTCGAAAACATATGTTCGAAAGTGCTAAATGTTGCATTTTAAATGCAGCAAAAACGCTGCATAAGTCACAACTAAAGCTATTCATAGTCGCCTTAGTTGCGACTTTTTTGGTTAAGCACCAACTTAAAATTTAGTTTCGGCTGCAGCTGCAACTAAGTCGTAACTAGGAAGAATTTTTTTTATCAAATTAAGGGAAAACAGACGAAATATGTAAAAATTAAGTTTGTAGAGGGTGAATTTGATAATATTGAATAATCTCCAATTAAAATTTACAAAGATCGATCCATTTTAATCGGAAGATGAAATTAAATGCGTATTACAATTCGAATAAAGCTACATCACAATTTTATAATTGGAATAATGTAGAGAAATTCTCAAATAATAAGTCAGTTTCACGCTAGTTCTTTTAAAGTAAATTTGTGCATAACATTTAGATATCTACGATTGGTATGTTTCACAGCATGCTTTCGATAAACATCGACTTCACTTCACTGCGGTTGTTCTGGCTATTTCACACAATTAACAAGAAATTGATACCTTATTCTTTTGCATAATCATGGAATGAAAATAAAAATTACAAAAACGGATGATCAAACTTGACATTATTTAATAAAAATGTAATTTTTCCAAAATATCGTAAAGAAAAATCGATACATTTTCACACTTGTTGACTATGAATAGAGGTAAATTTTAAGTTGGTACTTAAATTTAAGCTGCAACTTTGTTAGTTTCGAATTAGTTGCTGGACTATGAATACGCGCCAAAGATATTTTTACATACATGTGTGGTTGCTTAATTGCTTATTATTACTACTACTATTCTTTTGCATATAGCTGTTTTCAAAAGATGCAAAATTTCTATAAAATAGTTAATCGATTTTAACAATATTACAATCAAAAGAAAAGTAATCGATTTACCTTTCTTTTAATATATATTAACAGTTGCAAATCATTTGTAATGGTTCACAAAAAATCGGTTTCGTTACAGCTTTGCAAAGTTTGACGACTTTTTCACTTCTGCGTATAGATGTTTTCAAAATTGCAAAATTTGTATAAAATAGTTAATCAATTTTAACAATATTACAATCAAAAGAAAGGTTATCGATTTACTCTTCTTTTAATATATATTAATAGTTGCAAATCATTTAACCTGGTTCACAAAAATCAGTTTCATTACAACTTTGCAAAATTTGATTACGTTTTTTCGACTTATATATAGACGTTTTCAAAAGTTGCAAAATTTCTATAAAAAAGTTAAGCGATTTTAACAATATTATAACAAATATAAAAGAAAGGTAATCGATTTATTATTTGTTGTGGCCCCGATAGTATTTGCACTTCTTGTATCCGGTCTGCTTGTTGCTTTGTTTGCAATTTTTGTGAAGATTGTTGTGAAGATTGTTGTTTAATTTGATGCGCTTGCTCTTGTTGCTGCGTTTGTACTTCCTCCAAGCAATGCTCCTGCGACAGTGACCTTTCTTGCTGCTGCTCTTGTTTGCTTTGTTGATTCATATTTTCGCTAAATTCCGTTCGGTTCTGAAGTGTGTTGAATTCATTCGATTTTTGACTTTGACTATTTGTAGGTGCTAACGGCCAGTTGCATAAATTACTTATATCCATGGAGGTGCTCGAGAATAACACATTGACATCATGTGTAACTAAATTTTCGGGATTCGATAGTGGCGCTTGTCTTGTGACCGGCTTGAAGCAGCAGTAGTGTCTAAAACAACTATCTCATCTGGCGCTTGCACACATTCGTAATTTTCCTCATCCTCAGCTAGATTAAATTGCAACTTGTTGAGAGGCACAAGTTTTTCTTGTTTGATGATTTCGCATGGCAGAAAAGTAGCTGCGGTTGGAGAAATGAATAAGTTAAACTGGATTTTCGTATGCTAAACTTAAAAATATAAATTTGAAACTTATGATTTTCAAAGTTTACTGGCTCGTTGTGGGTAGTTGCTTGCAATCCGAAATTTAAGTATTCTCTAAGAAGTCTCTCTGTGAAAAAATAAAAAAAAGTTAAGGTAATAAAAAATTAAATAACATACGAGAGCATAACAAAACGTAACATACTATAGCAAAGCACAACATAACGTAATATACCATAAGAGAACATAGTCTCTCTGTGAAAAAAAAAAGTTAAGGTAATAAAAAATTAAATAACATAGGAGAGCATAACAAAACGTAACATACTATAGCAAAGCACAACATAACGTAATATACCATAAGAGAACATACATAATCAGCCCGATTCTGAATACAAATTCCTTAGGAAATTTCTCACTTCTCTCTATCCTCTTATTCTGAACAAAAATTCCTTACGAAATTTTTCTCTTCTCCCTTTCCTCTTATTCTGAACAATGTTCGAAAAAGGGGGAAAAAAATTTAGAGAGGAAAGTAGGTATCACGAATGCAAGTAAAAGGGAGATTTTGCTGCCATTTTTAAAGTATTTTTTCCCCAACTATTTTGAAAGGAACGCTGAGGAAAAATGTAATTTTATTTACTTTTTAATGGAAAAAATACTAATTTATAATAAAAAACAGTAATAAAGTACTACAATCATTCTTATTTTAGGTCGAAAAGTACAAATAAGCATCAATTAGAAATTCTGGTAAACCTAATGCAAGGCCATGCTGAAATCGCGCGAGGTTTTTACAAAGGCGGTAAAGAACCACTGAATAGATTTTGGCGCAAAGTTGAGAAAGAACTCAATTCAGCGGGGCCACCATCAAAATGTATTGCCGAATGGAAGAAGGTACATCAATAAATACATTTTACCTATGTCAGTTTAATAAAATTGCTACAATCCAGGTGTGGGCTGATCAAAAGAAGTACGTGCGACACAAAGCAGCCAGTAACCTTAGACATAGTAGGGGAACTGGAGGAGGCCCTAATATCGAATACAAGTTTTCTGCAACAGAAAGGGCAATATTCGAGTTGATAGGGATGAAGGAATCCGTGGAAGGTGTGGCGAAGACATTTGGGCTGACATCTTCGATTAATGTTGAACGAGTGGAAGAAAACCTTGATTTCTTGATGAATGAGAGTGGTGTAGTGAATGAAATTGTATTGAAGAATGAGTGTGTCGCGATGAATGAGGACCCAATGGATTGTGTGTTTCTGATTGACGAAGAGGAGCCTACTTACCAGCCATCTTCAAAAGCAGTTAAGCCTACTTCCTCCAAAAAAGTGTTGACAAAACATTCTCCTCCTGAAATTCTCGTGGAAGAGGTTGCAATTCATCGCGAGCTATGCGACACCATCAAGGGTGCAGTTTCGGAATCCAAAGAACAGCAAGAAAACGTAAAAAAAATTTATAGAGCGATCGACAGTATGCAGGTAGTCCAGAAAAAGCATTTTAAAGAAATGGAAAAATTAAAGAGGGAAGAAATTGACGAAATGAAAAGGCATAATCTGATCATGGAAGAACTCATGCTTCGCCAATTAGAGAAGTAAATGGAAATGCATAGTACAAATAGAATAAGAATAACTGAATTTGTGATGTTTTTATTTTTTAATGTACATATATTAACTCTTTTTTATGTTTATTATGAGGCCTTTTAGTATAAGAATAACTGAATTGTGATGCTGTTTTATATTTTAATTTAATACTAAGAAAATAAGAAGAAACTGAATTTGTTCTGCCTTATAACGTTTTATTTACATATATGTATGTATATCCATGGATTTTAAAAATAATTTTTAGTATACGAAACTTAATTGTGGTACTCACTTCATTTATCCCTTTGTAAAACACTGAATACGAATATGAAATTAATATATATCCTTATAAAAATTAAATATGAAAATAAATGTTTTTTGCTTTTGTAACATAAAATTTAAAGGGAGCTCGCAATTCGGTTTCTTGTGGTTTGTGCTGCAGCCAAATACAGGGGCGATGTTAAAGAGGTAACATCTGTATTCTCACTCATTTGGTTTATCTGCTCTGGTGAGTTTATTTCGCTCATGTCTGTATATGACTTAAAATGTATGCATATATTATGTAACGCACAACATACATTGACTATCTGAGCTGCTTTTCTGGGAGTATAATGCAGTTCTCTTGCTCCAAGGAGACACCTCCATCGAGTTTTTAGCACTCCATTGACTCGTTCAATTAAGTTCCGACATTTTGAATGGGCATCATTAAATTTCATTTGGTTGGAGCCATCTTCTGGGCTTCGATATGGTGTCAGAAGCCATGGTTTTAAAGGGTATCCGGCGTCTCCTAATTCAAAAAAGTCCCATATTACAGCATATAAAAAATTTCACTAATTTTAATTTTACCTAGCAGCCAAAAATTGCCTTCACCTCGCAAGTACTGAGCTGTGTGAGATGCGTTCTCAACTCACTGCCATTCCAAATAAAGGAGTCATGAGAGGCACCAGGATGGGAGGCATCAACGTATCGAATCCTAAGCTCGTGGTCACACATCTGCCAATAAAAAATTACACATATTTGTTAATATACGTACATACATACACATCCATTTTTTAGATAAGTTAGTTTGTATTCATCTAAGTATTAAAAAAAAATAGCATACCAGCATCACATTTAGGCTGTAGTATCCCTTTCTATTGTAGTATAGGTGCTTATTTTCAGAGGGTGCGATGATGCGAACATGTGTTCCATCAAGACACCCTATAACACTGGGAATACCATGCTTTATGTATAATGCACGTGAAATGCGTCTTCTTTCATCGATGTCCATTGATGCATTTATCCACCTTGAGCACAACAAAGTTTCAAAAGTTTCAGTTACTTCTTTGAGAACTTTACTGAAGGTGGACTGGGCTAGAGAGACGTCGACGTCTTTTCCAATTCTGCTTGATAACCGCGTTCAGCAAAGAAACGTAAAGATGCGCTGAGTTTTACAATAGGAGGAACTGCAAATTGCTTTTTATTATTTACCCTATAATATTTCTGGAACCTGTAAAAGCGATAAATTATTTAAAATATATGCACAAATGTGTAGGTATTTACAATGATTGCGGCAACTCAAGCGGATTCGTATTATCGCGAAGGCTCCTTCTTATAGACCTCTGTTGAGCTTCCTGTGGCTCCAATTCGCCATATACTTCCTCCACTCTCATATGAAAGGCAAAACTATGCATTATTTTTAATATTTTCTTAAAACGATACAAAATTCAACAAAAAGTTCAAACTTTTGAATTCTCTCAGAATGTCTAAATGAAATGTCATTTGGCAAAACAGCTGATTTCGAAAATTCGAAATTCTTACTCCTCAATTATTCCTCTCCCTTGCGGAAAATAATAGGAGGATTTTTTTCTCGAGAGAAGAAAAATCCGTGAGAATATAATTCCACGAGAATATTTAGAATCGAGCTGAATAGATCATAACATAACATGTTATGAAATAGAATAAAATAAGTATCAATCGCCCCTGAAATCATTTTGAGTAAAATAAAATAAAAAACGAATAAAACTTATTAAAAATCTGTCCCTCTCTCCACTTACGTGAGGTTTGAATTCTCGTCGCAACAGTTCTAGGCATCTTGTAATCCGAAGCCACAGCTAGTTCATCACCTCTGCTTACAACTTCGGTAGTCACATTAGTTGTGCTGATTTCCTGTACCCGATCTACGGCGTGCAACCCAACTGATCTTTCAAAAATCTTCTTCTTCTTATTTGGCACTACAACCGTTTGTCTGTTTGGGTCGAGACCAAAAAGCTTCTCCAATTGCATCTCTCCTGCGCGAATTTGCACCAGTTGGTTATCCCGAGCGCAGACAGGTCCTTCTGCACTGGTCCTTCCATTGCGTTCGTGGGCGCCCTTGCTTTCGTTGTCCACCCATGGGTGCGGAGTCGAAGGATCTTTTCACCGGAGAGTTGTCATCCATGCGTACAACATGTCCAAGCCAACGCAATCGTTGTATTTTTATGCGCTTAACTATGTCCATGTCGTTAAAAAGCTCTACAGTTCGTCATTCCATCTTCGATATCCGCCATCCATAATGTGACCAACTTTTTCGTAGCGCAAAGAAGTACAGGACCTAAAAACTAAAAATTTTTGAAGGTAAGGAGAAAATTGTAAAGCGGAATATATGCATAAAAACGCTGACAATGTACCAATTCAACAAATCAATTTTATTGATTAAAAACAAAACTTTTCTTCATTAACAACCCTGCCAGCCACGGCTCACCACTTTCCCCTGAAATTCAAACGATTTACAAACACATTCACAACTTTATAGTCATCTCACCCACACACTTACAAATTTTTTGTTCGAACTGTCAAAAAAATTTCCCTTTGTTAGAGCTACATACCCGATAAGAATTCGTACTCTAATAAGAATTCTATGCGTTAGAGCGAGCAAGTTAGAAACATCGGAGTTTTGATGACAGTATACATACTGTGAAGAAATGTCACTTTGCGAAAATTTTGAAGGTAAGGATACGTATTTAACAATTGTATTTAATTATATTGTAATTTCTTCTTTTAGATTGCAAAACAGCAGCGACTTGGTCACATTCTTAAGGTATGTATTGAGACTTTTTATATGTTTATAAATTTGAATTGCTATTTTTGTTTGTTTACAGGTTTGGGATTCATCATCAGCACCTTCAACGCTTGCATCTTCATCGCCAGGAGCACCATTAAAACCTTCTGCCCTCAGCTTCTTCATCGCCAGGAGCACCATGGGTACCTTCCGCCCTCAGCACCTTCAACGCCAGGAGCACCTTCAAAGTATAGGTCCAACTTGTCAAATTTTGCAAAGTTGTAAGAAAACTTAATTTTTCTGAACCACCATAAATGATTTGCAACTCTTAATATATATCAAAAGAAAGGTAGACCGATTACCTTTCTTTTGATTATAACACCGTTAAAATCGCTTTACGTTTTCATAAAAACTTTGCAACTTTTGTAAACAGCTATATATAAGCAGTGAAAAAGTGGTAAAATTTTGCAAAGTTGTAACGAAACTGAATGGTTGTGCACCATTACAAATGATTTGCAACTGTTAATATATATTAAAAGAAAGGTAAATCGATTACTTTTCTTTTGATTATAATATTGTTAAAATCGGTTAGCTATTTTATAGAAATTTTGCAACTTTTGAAAACATTATATATGTGAAGTGAAGAAGTGGTTAAATTTTGCAAAGTTGTAACGAAACTGAATTTTTGTGCACCATTACAAATGATTTGCAACTGTTAATATATATTAAAAGAAAGGTAAATCGATTACATTTCTTTTGATTATAATATTGTTAAAATCGGTTAGCTATTTTATAGAAATTTTGCAACTTTTGAAAACATTATATGTAAGAAGTGAAAAAGTTGTCACATTTTGCAAAGTTCTAACAAAACTGAATTTTTATGAACCAGTACAAATGATTTTCAAATGTCAATATATATTAAAAGAAAGGTAAATCGATTACCTTTCTTTTGATTATAATACTGTTAAAATCGCTTAACTTTTTTATAGAAAATTTGCAACTTTTGAAAACAGCTATATGCAAAGGAGTAGTAGTAATAATAAGCAATTAAGCAGCCACATATGTATGTAAAAATATCTTTATTATTAATGTTAATTGTAATTTTTATTCATAATATTGATTACTAACTATGCATTTTGAAAAATAAATTTTGCAAAATAAAAATCAAACAAAATTTTAAGATTTTTTATTTAAAGGTTTTAAGGTTATTTTGAATTCGCTTTGAAGAGAATGCAACCCTGCGCCAGCTGAAGTGGGCAATGCTAGACGAGTGCAGCTATATGTTTTCCTTACGAAGTATCTGAATGAGTGCGACAGTGTTGCAAGGATCACACGTACAGGGGGAAAGTGGTGACAATCTGCACACCGCCCATACAAATGTCACCAGTTTTGTCACCAGTTTTGAAGTGACCGAAACCCGCGGTTTCACCAGATTTTTCACCACTTTTGGCTGGCAGGGAATACAAAATTATCGCATAATAAAAAAGGGGAACAATGAAGTGAACTTCTAGCTCTGTAAATTGCGTATGGCTGAGATCTTTATTTCGTGAAAAGAATTTGAGGGATATTATAAATATGAATTCATTACTATTGCTATTAGGGTTTGGCGCATTCTTAAAATCATATTTTTCCATGCTATTAATTTGTCGCAAAAGGGTGGGTTGTGTCTTTAAAAAATTAAAAAAAGTCGATGCATTTAGAATCTAAATTGTACTTTACATCCATTAAATATTTTACTGTTTGAACTTTCAAAAGAGTTTTTTGACCTGTCCATGTTTTATTTACTAAAGAAAATACACGCTCAACTGGAGCTGAAGAGCCGGGAAGGCAAAGAGCGTATTCTGTCAATTGAGCAAATTCAAGGTACGAAATTTCTTGGCTCTCCATGTGCTTGAAAATTTCCACCCATCGGTCTTCTGTTGCCGCCCTTTTGACCCTCCATTCAGCGATCTTTTCACTTGTACAATAGCTTTTTATGAGCCCATATTGGTGAAATAATTTTTCATATATGT